TGTTATTGTGTGTGTATAACTATTAGAAACTACAAAATTAGTAGCTATTACATTATTTAATTTAGAAACACATAAGTTATATGTGTATATTCATATTAAAAAAAACTTACTAAAACTCATAAATTTGAAGAAATTAGTGATTAAAAATATGCATTGAAAACAGCACAAAGTTAAATGTGTCATATAAATTTTAACCTGATGAGAGACTAACAGACAATGTTTTTTTTTGCAAATAATAGAGTGTTTTTAATCATGCATGCTATAACAATGGTGGATCACGCTGGTTGAGTGATCCGACCTACCTGCCAGTGCATAAGTGTTTGGATCCAGGGATTAAAGTTTAGTAGATGTCATATTGGATATTTAGATACTAATTAGAAAGACTAAACATGAGCCTAATTAGGATTAATAGATTCGTCTCATAAATTAGTCTTAATCTGTACAATTAGTTTTGTAATTAGTCTATGTTTAATACTCCAAATTAGTATCTAAACATCCGATGTGATAGCAATAACCCCTTATTATGCCTAGCAACATGGAAGCCCTGCCCTAGGATATATATGATGGTTACTTGATGGTCCCCAAATTCAATGGATCACAGGATTGTCTTGGCTTTGCACATTCAATGCCATTGAATGAGCTAGAGGGTGAGTGTTGTTGATGTGAAGAGCCAACAGAGGTGAAAGGAAGGACATAGTTAGTGCATTGATTCATCCTTAACGTTTCAATTAGTTTTAAAATATGTGCTGTGCTTCATGCAATAAAATCTTTATGAAATATATTGTTGAAAACACTATTGATTCCCAAAATACCATACATTTCAATATTGGATTTTTTTTTGAATCCTAGCATGTATCAATAATGAAGTATGACACACTTCTTTTGATACTCTCCATCCGCCCCAAAAAGTTTTTTATTTTAGGATTTAAAATTTGTCCCGTAAAAACTTGTCAATTGTAGCCATTGGGCAGCCTGGGAGGCCCACGTATATCAACTCAACTGTATATGGCCCCGTTCGCTTCGCTGAAAAAATAAGTCAAAACACTGTTTCAGCTGATTTGTTGTGAGAGAAAAACACTGTTCCGGCTGAAAAAACAAGCTAAAAAGTACGGATTATAAGAGAAGCGAACAGGGCTGAAAAAATAAGCCTGTTCGCTTCTCTTATAATCCGTGTTTTTCAGCTTTGTTTTTTCAGCCGGAACAGTGTTTTTCTCTCCCAACAAATCAGTTGGAACAGTGTTCGGCTTGTTTTTTCAGCGAAGCGAACATGGCCTTTATATAGAAGATAAAGAAGGGTAATATGGTAATTTGAGTTCCACACTAATCTGTTTGAGATTTTCTAGAATAACAAGTATTTTATGATGGAGGCAGTAGGAAATTTCTCCTTGATAACACTCAATTCTTGGAGATGAAAATTTGCCTGATTATTATGGTTTTGTTAAGATAATACAAATTCCTCCAAGGTTACAGAATTTCAAACGGACCCCAATGCAATCAACACTTTGCTAGGATGTAGAGTTTCTGTGGGTTCAAGCAAGGAGACTCTTAATTAAGCCTTTAACGTTGATTTTTTTTATTAATTCACAATCATTATATCTATATCGAGTTGATTTAATAATCGTTAACCCACTTTCGGCCTCTGCATAAAAGCACATAGCCTAAACATAGATAAAGGAGAGACAATTATTCTAATGACTTTAAAGCTGATGCTGTCAGCATATGCGCTAAGGCAGTAAGTGCATTGGCACCCATGAACTTGAGTTGACGATGAGTGCCCTATGTGTCTGGTTCACGGATTGAGTTCATCTAGCATGGGTTGCTCCCGCATGCAAGTAGAATGGGTTTGTACATCATTTTTCTCGGAATGGACAATCGTCTAGCTACTGGCGCTACATCATTTTTCTATGGGTTCTTGCACAATCGTCTAGCTACTGGCGCTACAAACATATTGAACTTGCGCTATAAACCAAACATCACAGCTAGGTTCCGTTTCTGGATTGGATGGTTCTAAATGGATTCATCCAACAAACCAAACACACTATTAAGGAATCATTACAGCCTTTAAGGAAGAGACAATCAGACAAAAGTCTTTTTTAATGCGGATGACGATACAGTTTGGTGTAAGTTTGGCTACTTTTAGTGCTGGTGATACTATATGAACACCTTTCGAGAGGTGTGCTTTAATTAGTAGTTTTTAATATAGGCCCATATTTTTTTGTGTATTCATTCACGGGTTTGATCTTTTCTTTTGTTTTTGTTAAAGAGAAATCATTGTCGAGGACATCTACAGGTACACCACAACACTGCCCCTTGTATCCTAGAAACTCTAGAAAGTCAACAATAAGAGCATACTTAAAGGTCCGGTGCCTAAAATTAGACAACTTCTCAGGTGATCAAAGAATAGTGCCAGTGTTGTTCGATAGTTACGGTCTGGTTTGTTAGAGGTTAGGTGTATATTCCACCTTTATAAAGGAGCTTGCGCGAGGTTGGTAGACCGACGAAGGAGGAGATGGTGGGTGGGCAGAGTAGCGAGGCATGGTGCCACCGGCCACGGGTGGCGGAGGACAGCAGTTAGGCTGTGTTGGCGGCATAGAAGGTCCAAAATGAAGGGGGAAATATTCAAAATGAAGTGGTTAGTGCAGCTGATGGGGGCGGCTCCGGTAGCGAGGAAGTCGTCAGGAATGGCTGGAGAAGGGTGGGAGGTAGGAGCGACAGTAGGTTGAAGGAAGAAGGCGGCCTATGCTTCGTTGGATCAACAACAAATGGCCAGAATTGGTTGGCTGAACAGGTCGGCTAAATAATACCTTAATTACAGGCGCCTAAAGAATAATAGGTCCCAAAAAAAATGGTCATAGAAATAGCCTGAATCAACTTTCAGGATGCCATTCATATGGTCTTTTCACTATGATTCTAATATTAATATACATATATATGTTGTCAATCATAATCGAGCAAATATAAATACAGAGGGACGTATGAATAATCTTTTGCAGACAAAATTTTTATCAACCACAAAAATTCACATAACACTATATATACAGGATACATAGAGTGATTCCTAAGTATGAGGGACAGAATAATCCCATATAAATTCATGGAACTAACTCCTCAGTGGACAACTACCACATCTAGGATGAGGTGATTCCTAAGCACTTAGGTAACGAATGTTAAAATGACATACCAATAGAAGCAGGTGAATTCATACATTATAGAATCACACAATTTTAAGGAAATTGTGGTAAAAAAACCATGTGGTTGTTACCTTCAAACTTAAAATTGAGGTTTGTTACAGCATCAAAGCACCACCTTGTCCCATCCTCCTAAAAGATGCAACAACAACCATGAGAAGACTATAAAACAAATACATGTGGCAAAATAAACTTGAAATTATCTAAGATGTAGTCACAAATACACTACAACAAAAGAAACTTGAGATGGTTTAAGTTGAACTCACACTGCTTGAACATAATCAGGCACGAAGATATGAGAACAAGCCTTGCTTATATGGTGGTTTGGCTGATGGTTGCTATTTATTGATTCCAAGAGTCAAAGGAAAAGTTAAATCATGAATGCCAGACAAAGATGAGGAAAACAGGGGGAGTGAGTACAGCTAACACCGTTTTTTATGTTGACTGGCACATTAATTGCTACCTAGTCTTGCAAAAGAATGACAGATGGAGCTTAACTGATGTGCATGAAACGACTCTATGCCATTTGCCATGATCTAAAAGAAACCACCCACAAAACTAGTGACATATACCATGTTTTGAGAATTTGTTTTGGAAAATTAAATTCATGGCTTCGTAGTCCAGATGTCATGTGTTCCTCCACATGCACAATACAGGTGTCCTATGGAGAGAAACATGTGTCTACACATGTCAACTTAGAGAGTACATGTGTCCATCCTGTATTGATTGTATAGAACATTGTTGACTAATAATAATAGACAACTGTCTATAATAGACCTATGTATTCAACTATAGCACCATAGGAGCATTAATTATAGTGGTGGTTGAATAAGCACAAATTTGAATAAAGCTAGTAAAGTGGTCAATAGTCAACACTAGTTATTCACATGCCATGGAGGATGGTTGTTGTCATTTAAAATAGAGTAAATTACACGGCCGGTCCTTAAAGTATTGGGCTGATTTCGTCTGGGTCCCCAAACTATGAAATCGCACTGTTGGCTCCCCAATCTACTTAATTCAGTCCATGTAGGTCATAAACAGCCCAGGCGGTGTCAAGCAGTCGATGTGGCTGTCCACGTACGCACGTGAGGCACACATGACCCTCGGCAGGTACTGACTTTTTAGCAAAAAACCCCCCGCATGCTCTCATCTTCTCTACCTCACTCCTTTCCTATCTCTCCGACGGATCTCGGGCACCTCGGGAGCATCGGCGTCCGACAGCGTCGCACTGCCGCTCTCGTCCCCGCACAGCGAGTTGCCGTCGCTGCTGGAGTCGGAGGCCTTGTCCCTACCGCCGCCGCCGATGTGTAGGATGGCCGCCCGGCTCCTCTCCTTCTCCACCACCCTGTACGTGAACATTTGGAACGGCACGTCGGAGACCCACGGCGCCGTGTTCCTAGACCCGAACTGCCATGCCAGGCTCCTTTGCCGGCTCGCCTCGATGTCTAGGTAATCCATCGGCGGCATGGGAGGCGGCGGTGCCGCGTCTGGCTGCTCCGCAGGGGCCGGGTTCATGACCATGAACCGCTTCACTTAGCGGAGGACGCTGCAGACGGACGCGAACGCCGGCCGCTGTGCCGGGTCCCCGTGCCAGCACCGCTTGGTGAGGTTGGCTAGGTACTTGGGCGCCTGGAACGAGAACAACGGCCGCTCACCGACGCAGATGTTCTTGCTCATGTGTTCCCCCTACAGGTGGTTGTCCTCGAATGGGATCTTCCCCGTCAGCAGCTCAAAGCAGACCATCCCGAAGCTATACACGTCCGCCTTCTCCGTGCACTTGGCTGCCTCCTGCTCCAGCACCTCCGGGGTGTACTAGATGCAAGGGTTGGAGGCGGCGACGACGGCGTTGATGGCGTTTGCTGCTTTCACTGACGCCCTAGGGCTAGGCCTGGGGTTGGCGGCGGCCACGGTCGCTGTGGACTGCCCGAACCCGGCGACCTTGATGTGGAGGGGTGCGTCGCTGTGCCGCGTCCTGACGAGCACGTTGGACTGGTTCAGGTCGCCATGGTAGATCTTCCTCGAGTGCAGGTACTCCATGCCACGCGCGATCTGCAGCATCACGTCGACGACGACGGCGAGCGGGAAGGTCACCGACCGCTTGGCGTTGTTCACCTCCTTGACGTGGCTGGCCAGGTCCTTGGTCATGAGCTAATCCATGACGAGGAAGAACTCACGCTTGTCCTTGTCGTGGAAGCAGTACCGGCACTGCGCCACGTTCGGGTGCACCACGGAGGTGAGCAGCGCGGCCTCGGTGCCCACGGCGTCGGCGCCGATGAAGTGCTTCACCGCGAAGGCCTCCCCCGTCCACTGCCCCTCCTTGAGGTTGCCCACCAGCCACCTTCGGACATGGAAGTCGCCCTACAGGAGCACGGACGCCGGGTGCACCTTCCCGCGCGGCGCGGTCAGGAGGTCGGCTAGCCAGTGCTCGCTCCACGTCAGCGGCTTTGGCGAGCCTGGGCTCCTCCATTCGTCAAGGTACTATGACAAGAGCCACCGGTCCTCCTTCCATGCCTCGTCCATCTTGGTGGCGAGCTCACACGTCGCCAGGTACCGCGCGTCGAGCCTTTGCCGAAACAGCCTCGGCTCCAGCATGTCCCTGTCGTAGTCCTTGGCGAACAACAGCCGCCACTGGGCGAGCTCGTCCGGGTTGGACCCCGTGACCTCCGAGACAAGCTCGACGGCCTCTAGCACCACGGCGATGCTCTAGAGTAGGCTATGCATGTGCTGCTCCACGTAGTCGGCGCCGTGCGTGGCCACGGTGACGTGCGCCCACCAGCTGTCCCGTGGCTCCAGGCAGTGGCAGACGTGGCCGAGGTCTGTCCGAGAGAAAGGAAAAGAGTGAGGTGGAGAAGATGAGATCGTGCGTACGTGGACAGCCACATCGACTGCTTGACACCACCTGGGCTGTTTAGGACCTACATGGACTGAATTAAGTAGATTGGGGAGCCAATAGTGCGATTTCATAGTTTGGAGACCCAGACGAAATCAGCCCAATACTTTAAGGACCGGCCGTGCAATTTACTCTTTAAAATACTTACAAACTTACTCGTTATATTATGTTTGACCATTCATTTGGTTTAAACTTTTTGGTGTTCTTGGTCCAACATATTCGCACTCAGCAAATATAGGTTTTCACATTTTGGACTAACTATACTTTTGGTGGTAGACGACTGCTCGTCAATAGAACTGAGATGCTTGGACTGAATTTTGTGACCCCAAGATTTGCTACCCCAGTCACTCGAAAGCATTCATAGGTGGCTGTGTGTTGTGTATGCCAGCATCTATGTCTATACAACATTTCCAAGAAAACATAGGGCACTGTGGGTGTTTGTGAGTGCGAATAAAATATTAAGGATTCTGCAAGATTACCATTGTAGCATTTCACTAGGAGTATTCCAGGTATTGTTGGTATTTATTAATGCACATAGATAAATCCGCAAGCGCACGGATACCGCTGTAGCTTTCACCCGAAAGTATTTCAAGTACGTATCCACAAGGAAACGTGTGAGATTAACTACGTCTAACTTAACCCAGAGTAGCAACACGACTTAAGATTACGGGAGTAAAAAGGAGATCACTAAGGTCTTCTAGTTCTAACTTCGGTAAGCTATGTCTTCTATTGTTCAATTCTGAGGATATTACTAAGAAAAACACAAACATAGTATGTTTCCTATAGTAACTAGATCTTGCTCGGCCTACAAATGGGAGGTGGACTATAGAGGATTCAACGAGGCTATAAGAGTCACCCTCGTGAGCTACCACCGATCCGGTACGTAGGGTACATCTACAAGTAACCGAGTGTAAGCACCACGCTTACACTATGAATACTACTTTAACCCAAGAATGACAAGGATTAAAGTATTTAAAAATAGTCGCAAACCTGAAGAACAATATAAACATGTTACTTACTTGAATTAGAAGTTGATTACTAGAGAAATCTCAGAAGCAAGCTCATGAAGAACTTGATTCCGCTAGGGTACAAGCCGTAGAGAGAGCACCAACAGGCCGATACTTCATCCAAACTCTTCCCTCACACTCTATCTCTCTATTTCTAATACAAGACTAGATCCTATGGAGGACTAATCTTCTCTTGATAGCTGGCTCTGATCCTAATGAGGAGGATATGACTAATCTTCGAAGGTCTCGCCGCCGCCGAAAGCAGAAGAGATCAGAAGCTCACCGCCCGCCAGGTGCTCGCCGTCAACGCGGAAGATGCTGTCACCAACCCCGACTATTGCCCCTAGTCCAAGGTCCCCATCACCTTCAGTAGGGCCGACCAGTGGGCGGACATCCCTTACACAGGGCATCTCCCCCTCGTTCTTGATGCAACCAATCGAAAAGTGCTTTTTAGGAAAGTACTCATCGACGACGGAAGCGCCCTGAACCTCCTCTTCGTCGGAGCCCCAATGGAGCTGGGCCTTGGGATAGGAGACCTTGCACCCTCTGACTCCTCCTTCTAAGGTGTGGTACTTGGCAGGGCATCCAAACCGCTTGGAGAGATCACCCTCCCATTACAGTTCGGCACGGCTAGCAACTACCGCGTCGAGCACATCAACTTCTACGTCGCTGACTTCAACACCGCCTACCACGCCATACTTGGTTGGCCAGCTCTAGCCAAGTTCATGGCCATACCGCACTATGCCTATCTGGTGCTGAAGATGCCTTTGCTTGTAGGAGTCTTGGCCCTGCGGGCTAACCTCTCCATCACCTACGCTTGCGAGACATAGAGTCTCGCCCTCGCCGAAGCCACCAACCTCTCCATCCAGATGGCCAGTGTGGTCTCCGACGCCAAGATGGTGCCCACCGATGACCTAGAGATCCCATCGCTGGAGCCTCCTCGCGCCTCTGCCAAGTCCAAGGAAACCAAGGAGGTCGGCCTTGGCCTCGACGACCCCTCCAAGACCATGAAGATTGGGGCTCACCTGGACCCCAAATAGGAAAGCGCGCTCATCTCCTTCCTACATGCCAACACCAACATGTTTGCTTGGAAACCTGCAGACATGCTGGGGGTACCACAAGAGAAGATCGAGCACTCTTTGAACGTCTCGCCGACCGCCAAACCGATCAAGCAGAAACTCCGACGATTCACGCCAGACAAGAAGGAGGCTATTAGGGTAGAAATAAAATGGCTCCTAGCTATCTGATTTATTAAAGAAGTGTATCATCCTGAGTGGTTAGCAAACCCTGTTCTCATTCAAAAAAAGAATAAAGAATGGAGAATGTGCGTTGATTACACTGATCTCAACAAACACTGCCCTAAAGTCCCCTTCGGTCTGCCTCGGATAGACGAGGTTGTAGACTCCACCACCGGCTATGAACTACTATCCTTCCTCGATTGTTACTCCGGCTATCACTAGATATCCCTCAAGGAAGATGACTAGATCAAGACATCGTTCATCATGCCTTTTGGTGCGTGTTGCTATACCACCATGTCCTTCGGACTCAAGAATGCCGGGGCGACATACCAAAGGGCCATCTAGATGTGCCTCGATCAACAGATAGGCCGCAACATCGAAGCATACATAGACGATGTGGTCATCAAGTCCAAGACCGCCGATAATCTCATCGTCGACCTTGAAGAAACTTTCGCCAACCTGAAAAGGTATAGATGGAAGTTGAACCCTTCAAAGTGCATCTTTGAAGTTCCATCCGGCATACTCCTAGGCTACATCATCAGCGCCCGTGGCATCGAGCCCAACCCTGACAAGGTCTCCACCATCACCAACATGAAACGGCCAACCTGCATAAAGGACATACAGAAGCTTACAGACTACATGGCTGCTCTCAGCCGCTTTATATCGCGCCTCAGTGAAAAGGGATTACCGTTCTTCAAACTCCTCAAGGCCTCCGAGCGCTTCTCTTGGTCGGAGGAGGCAGATACAGCTTTCGAGCAGCTTAAGTTATTTCTAATGAAGTCTCTGATCCTGACGGCACCTCGACTAGACGAAACCCTACTGATCTACATCGCTGCCACTTCTCACGTCGTTAGCACAGCTATCGTCGTCGAACGCGAGGAGGCCGGGCACGCCTATAAGGCGCAACATCTGGTCTACTTCATCAGCGATGTCCTTAATGAGCCCAAAACTTGTTATCCTCAAGTTCAGAAACTGCTATATGCTATTCTGATCACGTCACGCAAGCTCTGCCATTACTTCGAGTATTACAAGATCGCCGTGATCACTGAGTTCTCTCTAGGGGACATCCTCCGCAACAAAGAGGCCGCATTATCAAGTGGGCTGTTGAGCTCGGCACTTACTCCATTGAATTCAGAAGCAGGCCTACCATCTAGTCACAGGCGCTCGCTGACTTCATCGCTGAGTGGACCGAGATCCTAGAGCCCATCCCCGCTACTTGCCCCGAGCACTGGGTGATGTACTTTGACGGCACCCTTAACATCAATGGTGCTGGTGCTAGCATTTTATTCATTACGCCGACCAAAGACAAGCTCTGATATGTTCTCCGAATACATTTTCTAGCTTCCAACAACACCGCCAAATGTGAAGCATGTCTCCACAGACTCCATATATTCATCTAGCTCGGCGTCAAATGCCTCATGGTATACGGAGACTCCGCGCTGGTCATCAACCAGCTCAACAAAGACTGGTCCTGCTCTAGTGAGAAGATGAATGCATATTGCGCTGAAATCAGGAAACTCGAAGGGAAGTTCTACGGTATCTAGTACCACCACGTGGTACGAGATCAAAATTAGCTCGCTGACCACCTATCTAAGATAGGCTATTCTCGCGCCATGATTCCACCGGGGTCTTCGTTTAAGACCTCTTTACGTTGTCTATTAAGGAAGAGGAGGAAGTTCAAGAAATTCCCCCTGCCAAGCAGTTGGTACTTACAGTACCTTCGTCGGCCGCCAACTGGAAGGAGCAGTTCATCAAGTACCTCACCAGCGCCGATGTACCCGCCAACTAGACTGAAACTAGATGCCAAATCCATTGAAGCAAGCATGACGTGCTGGTAGATGGGAACATGATGAGGAGAAGTGCCAAGGAAGGGATACTATAGAAATGCATCACCCAAGAAGAGGGAGTGAAACTACTTCTTGAAATTCACTCTGGTTCCTGTGGCAACCACGCGGCCTCGAGAATCCTAGTCGGCAAAGCCTTCCGAGCTAGTTTTTACTGGCCCACGACCATCACCGACGTAGAAGACCTCGTCCGACATTGTGAAGGATGCCAGTTTTTCTCCAAACAGATACACGTGCCGGCACAAGAACTGTAGACCATCCTAGCTTCCTAGTCTTTCACATGCTAGGGACTGGACATGATTGAGTCTTTTAAGCTAGTGCCAAGTGGTTTCCAGTACATGCATGTCGCCATTGACAAGTTCTCTAAGTGGATCGAATAAAAACCGCTTGTTTTGGCTGCTGCAAAGAAGGCAGTCGAGCTCTTCAAAGATATCATCCACAGATTTGGCCTCCTGAATAGCATTGTCATTGACCTTGGAACTACATTC